CAGAGCTGTTCTCAGGCTAAAGTCAAAAACACAGCACTGACTGCACTAGCTACTAAGAAGGAGAAAAATGACTACTGTAGCTGAACCATGGACACCCCTGCACCACTCACTCCAGACCAGACAGAGCAGGAGGACCAGCACTCAGGGGACTGTTCCCCACTTCCACTCAGGAAGGTCTTACACAAAGTTTTACAAAACATAAAGGCAAAAGTCAAGTCCCTGCACCGCTGCTTTAAGGTGTGCAAAATGCTCAGACAAGAGCTGTCTGGAATTAATATCCTAAAATACAGCCTTGTTCGCAGCAATAAATTAAAAAAAAAAAAAAAAATAAGTAGAACAGTCTGCAATGGATGAACAGCAAGAAAACTTCATTCTGAAGAAGGAGCAGTGGAAGAGTGTAGTGAGTTGGGGAAGAGATTACTAGGGAGCTACTGACCACTCTCCAGTACTGGGAGGCATCAAATGGCCCACAGGATGTTGAAGCAAATACCGTTTGGAACACCACAGCCAGGGCTAGCAATGCCATTATCCCAGTGCCCCATATCTGCAAGTGCAGGAAAGTTGTGCTTTCCCTGGCTTCAAACCAGATCCGTCCAGCCCAGTGTCCTGAGCCAACAACAGCCCAAACCACTGAGTGAAATCTGCTGCTGTGGCAAGACTGTTTCTCTCAACACCCTTCCCAGCTCCCACCAGCTGCAGTACAGTGACTCTCCCAGGCACAGCTGGTAGCTTTGGGTTTCACAGGTCTTTACTTTGCAGTCTTGATGGGCTGAGCTGACAGTCAGGCTGACAGGCACTGCTTGCAAGGCTGCGATCAAGTCTGATCAGAACAACAGATTCTGTGGAGGCTCTGACTCCTACTTGTTGGAGGTGATCCCTCCCTGCACCCATCCAAGGTCAAGTCCCTTCTGTATTCACTCTCTGTTCCCTATTTATCTTGCAGGCATTTTCTCTCACCCTTTCTAAATAAACGCAACCTTCTCCTTTTCTTGTGGATGCTGTTCCAATGCAGTGAAATGACATACTGTTCATTTACCAGTAAATCATCAAGCCATGTTTGTTTGGGGATTTCTGTTGCAGTAAGTGCCTTCAGGTGCTTAATGACTTTTGTTCTCAAGTATTCATGCAAAACTTTGCTGTGCTTATTCTCATGTGTTTCTCTATAACATACCCTGTTCGCTTCTCTTCTGAAAAACACAAGAGAACCACTCTGTAAGCAGAGAATCTTTTACAACATTCAACATGCAGTCTGTATTTCTCAACTTCAATTTCTTGTAACTCATTTCACCTCTATCAATTCGGCTGCTGATGTCAGCTCCACACTGAACAAGAGGCTTTAGAGAAAAATGAATTGCATTCTGAACACTCCAGCTATCTATTTTATGAAGTTACGGAAAAGCAAGGCTGGTATACAGATTTTGAGCTTTTCTAAATTCCTTTATTTAATAACAGACATTCTTGCAATGGGGGCCTTCAGGACAATACACCTTGGGGAGAGGTATAATGGAGTAACACAACAGACTTCCAAGTCATACATGGCAGAGGTCAGCAGCAAGGGAAAATTAGTGTCATATGATGCTTATTTTATGGTTTGTGATAGGTTTTTATCAACAAAAACAAATCTAGGACTTGTTGGCAGCTTTGTCAGAGAAGGTTCTGCCTACCCACGTTAATAAAGAAAGGAAGGCTGAGTAAAAGATCTTTAATTAATACAAACCACAGTGAAATGTAGGTCACCTTTAATAGCCACATTAGAGTAACAGCTGTGTGTTTGCTGTAGAACAGTTTGTCAGTCAAAGGGCTCCTGGCAGGTCCAATTTAGCTTACAAAGAAATCCTGAGTCAAGGGGAAATACAAAAGCGAGAAAGCTGTAACTGAATGCAACTAATAACTAGCAAAGGAACTTGGAAAAGCCCCAAGTGGAACTGAGGAAGGCACAGACAGCATTTTAATCCTATCAGATAAATATTATGAATGTACTACAGTCTATGGGGGGAAATGTATTTTAGTGGAATGAGTGTTTAAAACGTTAGCTAGAAACTGCTGAATGAAAAATACACCATCTCAAGCAGGATTCTACGTAGCAGCAACCCAGTCATGTAGTTTATTGGTACCCCATTACCACAGGAGGTGAGAGTCTCTAGTAAGAGTTACACCTCTCAAAGGTGACAAGGATCAGATCATAGGACTGCAGAGTCCAGAAAGAAGTGTTCAGCCAGCACCACTATAGGCACCTTTTATGAAAAGGGTCTGACTACATGCCAACCATGGGGGCTAAATCCCAAAGGGAAAAAAACAACAGTACTGCTGTGCAAGAGCAAGATATGTGGGCTGCAGCATGCAGGCAGAATTTACTTGGCCCCACTGCTACAACGTTACAGCAAAAGAGCATTATTCTGCCTACGATATCAAATCTAAAGACCATCATTATTCTGTGTGTAGGTGGAACCAGACCTCTGAATGGGTTTAGTCCACCCCTTCCCCCCCTGCCATGGACAGGGACATCTTCAACTAGATCAGGTTCCTCAGAGCCCTGTCCAACCTGTCCTTGAATGTTTCCTGGGACGTGGAATCTACCACCTCTCTGGGCAACTTGTTCCAGCGCCTCACCGCCCTCACTGTAAATAGACAGAACTACTTACATTTCTTTATGTATTTCTTAATATACCTGTTCCTTAAAAAGGAAATCTTCACAGGATTGACTCCACCAGAAAGTAGCTATAAATGTTTTCATGAGGGTTATGCTCTGAACTAAGTGCTAGTGAACTGAAAAGGCTATTTGCAGGATCAGAACAATATAAGAGGTTTATCTACAGGCAAAGAATCAAGTACTGACTAAAAAATCTGACAGATCTAAATCACTAATTCATGTGCTAAGAACTTTACATGGTGTTCTATGGATCTAGAAGGTTTATAACCTTCAGGTTATGAAAGTTTCTTAAAATGTTACATGCATCTTGACTCGCTAAATCATCATCTGATCTAAAGGCTCTCCAAGTCTTCCTTCACTTTCTGCTCTCCTAAGGAGACCTTCTTAGTCGCTTTTACTATAAGTTACAGAGGTTAGGTTTGCAGGCTGGAGCAACCAAAACAGAGACAGGACTTTGATACTTGATGCTATTACAAGCACACTGAAGGTGAACATTTGCACTTCCTTTCTTACGCTGAGGTGTGCTGCTGCCAGGAGAGGGAGGGCTGGAGCACCCCAATCTCAGCCTTCCCCATTCTCCTAGCCCAACCCTCATTTGTGAGCAGGTCTGGACCGATTTTGTCCTCTGCCTCTCATTATTGAACCATTAGTTCCAGCCACTTCTGAAAATTTGGACATCATCTGACAGAACTGGAAACAGGACCGAACACTGAATATTCTCAGTGTGCCAAACACATTTATATTTTCAGCATAATTCTAACTGACTTTCATGCACAGAAAACCAAGTATGACATGCATATTTTGTGTGCCACAATACACTGGAAGTGAACACAACCAAACACATTATGAACTTCTTCATGAGGTGAGCAAGGATAACAGGAATTCAGAACAGCTTGCATAGGAGGTTGTATTTCCTGTAAACATCTTTACACGCTCTAGATACATTCTCAATAATGTTAATTTTAAGATGCTTTTATTCTTTGCATTTAGTGAGCTAGTTTTTTAATTTCTAACATATCTGTTCTGTGGAGATGCACAATTGAGCATAAGCTGCCTGAAAACTATTGTGCTGAGGTAGCAATCCAAACAAATTTGAGGTGATTCTTACATTATAAAAGCAACTAATAAAGTGACTTTAGAGGAGTGGTTGTGTAGTGCAGATCCCCTGCAAACAATGGATCACATCATCTTTCTTGGCCACAAATGTCACATTCCTGGCATATCCTACTGAGCCAGGCTACATACAAGCATTTCAACTTTATCCTAGTGAGTTTTGCTATGCAGCAGTATTTCCACTCCAAGGAGAAGCTGAATAATCCAGTGACTATACAAATCATAGAATCATAGAATAGTTAGGGTTGGAAAGGACCTTAAGATCATCTAGTTCCAACCCCTCTGCCATGAGCAGGGACACCACACACTAAACTATGTCACCCAAGGCTCTGTCCAGCCTGGCCTTGAACACCTTCAGGGTTGGAGCATTCACAACTTCCTCGGGCAACCTATTCCAGTGCCTCACCACCCTCACTGTGAAGAACTTCTTCCTTAGATCTAACCTAAAGTTCTCCTGTTTAAGTTTAAAGCCATTACCCCTTGTCCTACCACTAGAGTAAATATTTGAGTTCACTCTATGTGGGCTGTAAATGCTGGTTGAATGTCAGTAACCTCTGTATGACAAGCACCTAAATAGGGAAAGGATTGATTTGCATTCCCTGTGGACTAGCCAAAAGCAACTTGGTTTAATAGAACAGTATTTCAGGACCACAGTAGTACACAGTCATGGACACAAAGATAGATGATTACAATTCCTAAAGGCAGTGAAGACAAACAAGTCTGTAAATCCACCATCTGACTTCACAACACAAAAAAGTCACAAAAATATTAAAGAAGTGGGAATAACAAAATGCAGAAGACAAGAAACAGGAGGTGAAATCAGTAGGGACAATGTGTTCTGATGTTATACTTCATTACAAATGCATCCTGCCAAGCTAACAAAAATCCCTACAACTCTCGGGGACTTCACCAACTAGAGATAAAACAATTTGATTCCAGAAAAAAGACTGTGTATTTCCTTTTCCTGACTATAGAACTGTAATACCAGACCTGTGAGATGGAAAGGTAATCCAAACATAATACACCAAGAATTTCATCTTGCTTAGGGCAACTGCAAACAACATCTTTATTTACATTACAGACTCATCTGAGCTCTTGGATCAAAAGAACGAAAGTGGAGAACTACAGTGTACCTGATAACTGCTCAGAGCATGTTCTTTTCTTCCAAAAGGAGGCTATGACATGGACTGAAAACAGAGAGACGTGGAAAAGAATGGTGCATTGCATTGGCACTTACATTTCCCAAATGTCTTCTGGGAGGTTAGCTGGAATTTCTGTTAAGCCCCTTCCTCGACAATCCACCACATTGTTGCTGCAGGTGCAGGCAGATGGGCAAGTGATGGAACTGGCACTGCATGACGGAGGTTCAGACTGGGAACCTGAGACAATGAAAACATCAAAGGTTCGGTTTGAAAAACGAGTGCCTGAAATTTTAACACCAGAATACATCAGCCTTGTGTTTCCACATCCTTTTACTACATTAAGTGCAATTTATTGGAATTCAGTGAATATAATGTGCTACACATCAACTGCAGAGAAAACATGTCAAAGATTACTGTGTTGTTACTCTTCTCAGTCTCCTTTCCACCCATCTCTTCCCCTCATGAATGCTTCTTTGGTCCTCTCCATGATCAGCCATGTCTATTTCTTCAAAAACCCTTAAGATCAAGCAGTATTTCCAAAAGTTATCTTTGCACAGAAGTTTCCATTACACAAGCACTCCTGGAGGATTTTTCCACACTGAGAAATGACTTATGTTTTTGAAATGAGGTAACCTGTTATGGCAAAAAGACTGCAAATATAAAGGTAGTTTTTTCAAGATCAGACAATGCAGTTAATGGAAACACATAAAGAATTCAGAAAAACATGAGTTCAAACCTTCAAATCCTTGCTTAATCTAATAATGCCACTGAAAGACAAGAAGCTGCTTACAGAGCAGAGGTTTAGCATAAGGAGTTGTTCTATTACATACTAGTCAATCCATTGGACTCAGGTTTAATTAACTTCTTCTGAAACTGCAGAAAGTATGTCAATTTTACTCAATGGTTATGATTCCTACATTTAAGATTTTGCTATATGCATACAGATAGATAAGACAGTTTTGGTACACTAACTGAGGTTATTAAGATGCAGCAGTTATTGACTTATTTATGGTGAGTCATATATCCAAAGAACATGTAACACAGGAATCCTCAAGTATCTTTTTGACCAGACACTGGCTGAAGGCTTATGTTGGTAAGAAGTGAGAAAATCACAACAGAAACAGTAAAAACCTGGTATCTTTTTTTTTAGGCTACAGTAGATTGTAATCACAAAACACCTTTGGTCTTTTGGTTGGAAAAATTAAAACATCATAATTGGAAAATCACAAATCTATGTGAAAACATGGAAAACAATACACAAAGCTGTATGTAACCAGGGTTTGTCTTGGAACAGACACATGAATGACCGTGTCATAAATTATAACCACAGGTAACAAAGCCCAAAAATAGTTATTTGTATTAGTTTGCAATCAACTATCATTATAACAAGTAAAATTTCATACCAATGCAACATTCTATAAAGTTTCTTTCTTGCTCTATGCCTACACGCCCTCTGGTTTAGCCCTTAACTCTGCACATCAACATCAACTCGTACAGCAAACCTACATATGTTCTTATTATCAAAGACTTGCAAACAGCTGTGAAAACTCAGCATCAACATCCTCAGTGGCACCTCTAAGTATCCTTACTCTGAAAGGCAGATACAGGTTGAAAAGCTGTGAGCTGGAAACTGCTACAGGCTGACTTTACACTTGCAGAGGGAGCCCTCATGGAAAGGAGAAGACAATTACTGCAAAATCACGCCTTCTGTTAGAAAGGCATCCAATTCTGATGTGAATTCACTTCTGTTTGTCCAAATCTCCTTCATTTCAAGCAAGCAGTCATCCCCTTTAAAGATTATTTTGCAGCTGGGGTGACAGTACTGCCCTATATTAAAGCATACTGCAGAGTTTCAGGATCACATCACCATTTCAAAACGTTGCCAAGTTAAGTATTAGGTTTGATTTAATTCTTTTAATTGGGTCATCAGCTGACTTTCTGTTAGGACAGCAGGAGAAAACTGTGGGTTTCATAGCACTGTATGTGTTTTAAATACAGCTTTTGCTGATGCCAATCAGAGCTATGGGAGGCTGCGTTTTGACAGACCAGACCCCAGAACTCCAATTTAGGCATCCAGAAATTAGATTTTCAGAGGTAGTGACCATCCTGGAAAGGATCTCAGAGGACATTTGTGCCATGTGTAGGAGTCAAATTCATTCTTTATGAGAGTAGGCAGCTACTTTGAGATGATCCTAATGATCCTCTTTGCTAAAATACCCTGTCTCATGTACAGTCCGCTTTCCAGCTTCTGTGACAGTTGCAGATAAGGAGTTTACCAGCAACAGTCTTTTATCTCAGCACAGAGCTGGTTTCAGTACCAAAGCAGCTTCACCCTACAGAATCAACTGGGCAAAAATCTACTGTAAAAAAACCAACTCAATAATGTTATTAAAATGTAAATCCTAATGCATATTGCCCAAACGAGTCAAATTCATATTTATCAGGCAACCTGAACTCTGACTTGTTCCAGTTTCAAAATCTTAGAATCACAGAATTAGAGAATCAACCAGGTTGAAAACAAGCTTTAAGATCATCGAGCCCAACCATACCCCAGGACTGCCAAGCCCACGACTAAAACATTACACTAAGGGCAAACTGATCTCCCCTCATGGCTGCCCCTTATGATCTCCAGTCACGGCCACCCCTCATCTGCCCCCTATAGGGGCCCACACTATGCAGCTGCTGCCCCTACCCCTCGTGGCCACCACTCACCTTCCCTCAAGATCTCCCCTCACAACTGCCCCAGCGTTCCCCTCATGATCTTCCTTCATGGCCACCCCTGCTCTCCCGTCTCCCCTCATGGCCGCCCCTCTCCCCCTCCCACCGACCGGTGTCCTTGGTGCGCGCCGGCGCTGGCGGGAACGGCCCTCCCTGCCCGCCCGCTTTGACTACCTTGCCCTGGCACAGTCCGGAGATGTGAACACATTTCAGTGTAGAGATTTGAACCGAACAAACAAAATCCACACTCAGTAAATACGTACATGTGTAACAGGCGGGACAAGCAGCTCCCTTGGTCTGTCTTCTAGCAACAGAAATGCAGGGCAGACACACCATCACTGTGGATTAACGAAATTCCTCCAAAATCAATGGAGCTCTGCCTTTCACGGAGTCTAAGATTTTAACTATGACTACTTCCAAAAGTAGTTTATATTGCCTCAAAATGCACACATGCCTCTGTTATGTTTGCATAAGAACAAGAGGTTTGTTCTTACAACCCGATCACTTACATTTAACATTTTCTCTTTCTCTGCCCACCTTGTGGTACGATGCCCAAATGAAAATGAAGGATGAGGGAAGTGCAAACAAGCTATCACAAACTTTCAGGGATAGAGAGAATTTATTAGACTGGGAAGAAACACTTCAGAGCAATCCTTGCTCTCTGGGAGGCAAGAAGAAAGTTGGCAGCAAGGTCAAATCTTCCACACAGCCTTTATCCTCACATGTCTGATGTGCTTTCTGAAGAAACTTTGTAGTGAGAGGAAAATGCATTTTTCACAGTTGTGACATTACAACATATCTCTGTGGGTTACAGAAGTAATAATACACTTCCTTTTCATTAGGGCACCACATCAGACAACCCCATGTACTGCCATTCACAGTTTTAAGAATCTGTTCCTGACTCTACTGCATCTAAATCAACAGGAGGAGATTCAATGGAACTCAGATCATCACCACCAGTTTTGTGTGATGCAGTACTACGGAGGTTATTACATGAAAGGAGGTTATTACATAGAGTGCTCTGAAAAGAAAAAGACAGAAACCCCAGTCTTCCCTGCACCAACAGCAGGTAGCAACGATAACAATGTGATAATTAATGTCATACTACAGTTAAATAACATGGAACTTTCCATCAACTTTTTGAATGGAAAGGCTAAAGGCAAATCAGAACAGGATTTGTGCTGCTCACTGAGCCTTTCAGAGCCTCTCCAAACAAACACTAAAACATTCGTGTGCTATCAGCACTATACTTGTACTAAATCCAAAAAGCACAGCACTGCAACAGCTACTAGGACGGAGAAAAAATAACGGTTACAGCTGATATACAGAATCACAGAATGGTTTGGGTTGGAAAGGACCTTAAGGTCATCCAGTTCCAACTCCCTGCCACGGGCAGGGACACCTCACACTAGAGCAGGTTGCTCCAAGCCCCTGTGTCCAACCTGGCCTTGAACACTGCCAGGGATGGGGCAGCCACAGCTTCTCTGGGCACCCTGTGCCAGCGCCTCAGCACCCTCACAGGGAAGAGCTTCTGCCTTATATTTAACCTGAACTTCCCAAAGCCAATAGGAGTCCTTTTATTGACCCTCAATTTAGACCAAAACCCATTTTCCTGTGATTTTCCACTAAGAAAGAAGAACTTTCATGTGAACAGTGTTTTGATTTATGGCTAGGAAGTAAAACAAATAACCAATTAGTTAACCAGGGAGGTCCATGATGTCAAAAGAGAGAGAGAAAGCAACATAATCATAGAATAGTTAGGGTTGGAAAGGACCTTAAAATCATCTTGTTCCAGCCCCCCTGCCGTCTTTATTCTTTGTGCAGATGCAATCAAAATGACATGAAAAAAGAACAGCTTATGCTGAAAGTAAGTAAAGTAAAAAGGAAAGAGCCTGTCTTTGTGCGCACTCTCTATTTTCCACATATCACAAGTGATTAGTTTTCTCATTTCACTTAAAATCGGATGGAAAAAAAGACTATTTTTATAAACTTATTTCCTCATTATAAGCCTGAATCTCTGAGTGCCCCAAAATATCTGGTACTCCAGCCACTTTTGACTGACATTTTGTGCTTAGAGTAAAAATACTTTTGCTTCCATGCTGAATACAGCCCTTTGTATTCAGTGATTTCTTCTTCATGAGCAAAACTAGATCTAGGCTGTGATGTATGAAAAATTTAATGAGCAAAATTACTCTCTGCATAAATTGCTACATTATTATCAAAAGCTTTTGCTTATGTTTTTCCTCTGCAAAGAACAAGATACTGTATTACACATGCATAGTCAACAGGCATGTAGCACATATTCCATCAGCTCTTACACAAACAGTCATCTGTTAAGGTAAAGTTTTCTTGAATAATGCTATAAACAGAATTTCAAATCCGATTTGGGTTTAACTGCTTCAGTTAAATGAGGATCTATTGGTAGCTCCCTAGCAGATCCATACAATTAAAGCACAAAAATATCCAAGAGAGTTTAATCAGTTTAATGTCTGTGTAGTTGTAGAGAGGAGGCAGAGAAA